GTGAGAGAGAGAGAGAGAGGGAGGGTGTGTGTGTGTGTGTGTGTGCTGAAACAGAGGATGATTTTCACTTTTTCTTTCATAACTGCGTGGCCGCAAGCGCTCCGTGGCAGGAAGACGGTTGGCTGGCGATGAGACAGCAGCAACTGTAGGAGCTTCCTGGACACCTGATGCACCGAGAAGCAGTCAAACCCACAGCTGACCCCTGACCCTTGACCCCGCGCGCGCACACACACAGCTGCAGTGGGAAAAACAGCTCGGCCGAACAGTGTCACAGTCTTTCCATCCCGCTCGTATTCTCACATTTCTGTCATGGATAAACTGTGTCCGGCTACAGGATGGCCCTTTTTTTAAACAAAATGATTTTCTAATCCCAGCACTCTATGATGGAAAATCCTGATCACACAAGAGCCAGAGGATGTCCCATCTGCTCCGAGGGACACAATAAGTGCAGAAGACACGCCCCCCCTGGAGAACGAGTCGAGAACAGACGCAGCATCGGTGGAGCTAGTGAGCGTGTGACTAAACTAGCAAACACACATCGACATGAAATCAAGACACTGACAATAACATAGCATGTCTTTCACAACATGCCTAATAATAAAAAATTTAACATTTACATTTGACAACTGCGCTACTTCATGCAATTTCAATGTTTTGTTTTGTTTTTTTAATACGGAGCATGAGAGGTTTTCTGCGGGACTGGATTTTGTGCATGCAAGAGTATGACAGATGCATTAATCAGGATACATCTTAAAACGCTCTCTGTCCACTGTTTCTCATCCACACTGAAACGTCAGAAAACGTTTAATCTGCTTTACTGCGCACGCGTGAGACGATACAGACGAAACAAACATGATACGTGTTCATGCAATTCTTCTGGCAGGATTATTTTATTTAGGAAAATATCTCAGCATTCACGGACGCGTTCAGGTCGCACTCACTCACGATTACATGTCTGATCTAAAACACAACTAAACTCATGTTTTGCCAAAAACAGCAATCGCGAGGCAATTTTCTGTCACCTCTGCAGGACTGCGATATGAAGAGTGCACAAAGTAGCCGAAAGTGAAAAGCACATACCAGGCACAGGACCAGTATAAACAGATATCTATAGGTACAATGTGTGTCACGTGCGTCGTCGTTCTCAAAAGCCTCTGTTTTCACAGTCCACACTACAACGCAAAAACAGCATTTTCAAAAAGCTCAGTTTTTCTTGACAGAAAACACCATCTCAGTGTGGACACAAGGCCAAAACAGATAGAAAAGGATGCTTTTCAAACAAAAACGTACTAGCGTGGACAAGGCCTTATCCAGTTCATAAACTACAAAACTACATTTCCCATCATTCTCTGCGGCTCACTGACACATGTGACCTTCATTGTGTTGCACTAGTGCTAAAAGCTTCCCGTGCTCATTAGGAAGTGAAAATGAGAGAAAACTCTCAAACTATAATGTTTAATTTAAGCCACATAATTACAGCTTCACATCATCCAAACATTTACTAGCTCAGACGGAGCTAACGATCATCTACTATCCTCCTGAAGACGCTGCAGGACAGAAGACATTCTGTTCGTCGTGATGCTTTCAAAAGATCAACACATTATTCAATAATCCAGTTTGAGGGACCCGGGATCACACGAGGGACCCCTGACCGAGCCGCACACACATCTTAGTATTTCTGTCTTGCTTCTAGTCAAAATATCTAAAAATTCCTAAATCAAGATGCATTTACTAAAAGCAAAATTAGGGATGCACGATATATCGGCCACCATATCGGTATCGGCCAAAATTTTCATATCGGTGCATCCCTAAGCAAAATTATGCAAGATTGTTTCCAGGAGAAAAAAACTCAAGTGCATTTTGCTTAAAAAAAGTAAAATTATCTGCCAGTGGGATAAGTAAAATAATGCACTTAATTTTGCTTATCTAGTAAATACATCCTGGTTTAAGAATTTTTAGATATTTGGACTTGAAACAAGACAGAAATACTGTGCAGTGAGGAAACGAAATGGAGAAGTGGCAGACATGAAGGACCCAGAGATGCACCAAACATGAATCAGAAATACAAGCCACCGATTTCAGCTGATCCAAAAAGTAAATTATAAAGCGGAGAGTTCCGGTGCTTGATTCTGATTGGCTGAGCCGCGTTCGAAGCTGTAGTAAATGACGCTACAAAGTAACACACACCTTTGTTTACGTTTGTGTGTTGCTCGGCAACCACTTTGTAGCAAACACAACTGTTTCTGAGGAGCTACATTGTTTGGCGGGTTTTCATGTCCAGGGGTGTAAGAGACCACAATAACGTGATATTCAGCCCCAAAAATGTGAATTTTACCAGGGGAACCCCACAATAAACCATGATTGGGCTAGTGTTTTGAGTAGCAATTGGGTGGGTTTTGTTGTGAAAACCTGGCAACCCTGGTTGAATGTTTCTCCAGCGGGTCAGTTTGAGCTGGTCAGCGCTGGTAGCTGCTCGCAGTGACCGTCAGTATCTGTTCCTGCACCTTCTCCGTGATGCCTCCGCTGTGTTTGGTCTGGATGCCGCAGGTCCCCGTGCTTTCCTCGCTGTCCGTGTCTCTGTAACAGCTGGAGCCCGAGGAGACCGTCACGCAGCCCGTGGAGTCTCTGTCCTCACGCTGACCGCTCGTCTGGTCCTTCAGCAGCTGCACCAGGAAGCTGATGTACTTCATGGCCAGCCGCAGGATCTCGTTCTTGCTGAGCTTCTTGTCAGGCGGGTGGGTCGGGATGAGTTTGCGGAGCTCGGAGAAAGCTCCGTTTACGTTCTGCTGCCGCCAGCGCTCGCGGCTGTTAGTGAAGACACGCCGAGCCATCTTCTGAGGAGGACCTGAAGGAAACCACACAGCTGAGCGTTCACCACGGTGCTGAACCAAGGATGAAGAAGAGTGTGAAAACTCTAAACAGCATGCGTCTCCTAGGCTTGTCAAAAATACCGACTGCTTTGATCGTGAAAATGTGACGACAGCAGCATCTCCCGCGAGCATGTTGAGCAGATTCTTACAGCTGTTCTCAGTCGCTTTGGTGCATTTCTCAGATTCTCACAACTACTTCATCATCTAATCACTTGTGCACATCATAAAAGCAGTTTCTCATTCTTTTGAACAAGTTGCGATTGCTTTGGTGCATTCATGAAGTTGATTATGTACATTTGTCTGCGGTTTCCTACATCATCAGTTGCTAATGTCATGTTGCTCAAAAAAATGTATTATATAGTTCCTTCTCTGTGCAGCTGTCAAAAAATCTAGTCATTAGCTCATCATTAAATGCAAAATGGTTGATCTAGTCGTCCTAAACTTTTCACCTTTGTGCCCATATATGTGACCCTGGAGCACAAAACCAGTCATGAGGGTCAATTTATTTAACTGATATATACATCATCTGAAAGCTGAATAAATGAGCTTTCCATTGATGTATGGTTTGTTAGGATAGCACAATATTTGGCTGAGATACACCTATTTGAAAATCTGGAATCTGAGGGTGCAAAAAATCTAAATATTGAGAAAATCATCTTTAAAGTTTTCCAAATGAAGTTCTTAGCAATGCATATTACTAATCAAACATTAAGTTTTGATATATTTACGGTAGGACATTTACTAAATATCTTCATGGAACATGATCTTTACTTAATATCCTAATGATTTTTGGCATAAAAGAGAAATGTATAATTGTGACCCATACAATGTATTGTTGGCTATTGCTACAAATATCCCCCAGCGACTTAACACTGCTTCTGTGCTGCAGGGACACATTTCTTTTACTTTTCTATATCACAATGATGTTGTAATGTTGTTGTTTTGTGTCAGAACACTAGTAACGTGTAACTGTGAATCCTATCCAGTCTCTTTCGATCAGTATCCCACATACAGTAATGTGCAAATTTGTACTTCTGAAATGGATATATAGCATGCATAAGAAGTGCAGCCTTCAGCATTTCAGTACAGTAACTGTGATCCAAACTGTTCTCACATCACGTAATACTACCAGAGTGCACGGTTATACTGACAACATCTCGTTTGTGAACAATGACACAAGGACTTTTCATTCTGATGGCTCTGATGTGTTCATTGACATAAATACTTGCTTTTGAGAGACGAACTAAAGCTTGTGAGTAAGTTACAGGCTTTTGCAGGTAATCCATTGTGTGCTGCTGTTTGTACGAATTGTTTTGAGAAATGCACCAAAGCCACTGTGTTCACGTGCTCGACAGAAATGTCTGAACTCAACGGCCAATCAGAGGTGTTTGTGGGAAATGCTGATATCGTCACATTTTTTAAAAATTCAGTACCGAAGTCAGTACTTTTGACAGCCCTAGTGTCTCCTCACAAAACACCCACAGATTAAACGACGTACCGTCACTGAGCTCCAGTTCGAAGTGTGTGGACGGCCGTCTCTTCATACGAGCGTTCCCGAAGATCCCAAAGCTTCCCGATGGTCCAAGGAAAGAGCTGAGAGCAACATGAGGAGATGAAGGAGGAAAAGAAATCTATAAAAGCAATCCTGAGTTTTTGATGAGCGTCTGCCACTGATTGGACAAACGTGACGGTCAGCGCTCTGTCCTCATTACAGCACACAGCTCAGATAGATCTGAATGGAATATATATAATTCTTCTTTGCATTTTTATATCGACATGGTAGATTTGGAAGATTATCCTATTTAAATTAATGTGATAAATGAGGTAGGACAAAGGTAATCAAAAAGTAGTCCGATTATATTCCCTAAAATGTGTAATGTGCTACGACAGTTACTAACTACAGTTTTTGTCATGTAATTTGGAATCAGTAACAAATTACAATTTTTATAAAGCGGAGAGTCCCGGTGCTTGATTCTGATTGGCTGAGCCGCGTTCGAAGCTGTTGTAAATGACTCTACAAAGTAACACACACCTTTGTTTACGTTTGTGTGTTGCTCGGCGACCACTTTGTAGCAACCACAACTGTTTCTGAGGAGCTACATTGTTTGGTGGAAGAATACTGTGTTTATTAATATCATTACACTTTATTTGCTCCGTTTTATTTTGTGAAACCTTACTACGTATATGCAATAACCGTTTTATAAAAGCAGTAATCCCCGTGAAGCCGTGGTTTACAGTGAATTTATAACAGTGCCTAACAACGGCCCTTAGCTGTTATAAATTCACTGTAAAGCACGGCTTCACGGGGCTTATTGCTTTAGTAAATACCTGCTGATGAAGGGGTGCGTCTGCAGGAGGGCCGGAGGCAGCAGGGACAGGCGCAGCATGGAGAGCGCAGGCAGCGGCAGTTTGCTGTGAGCCAGGCTGATGACCGGGATGTTGGGCGGGAGGGACGGCGAGGAGGCGGCGGGGGGGCTCCGGCGGGGGTCCGTCTCGGGTTCGACTGCATGCGTACGGCTCTCTGCATCTCGAGCCGCGTCAGCATCGGGGGAACTCGAGCGAGCTGGACTGACGGGCTGGAGGACAGACGGAGAGATGGGCGGCTCGTTCTCCATCATGACCGGAGACTGATGATCGCTTCTTCTCATCGCTCCTCATGGGGAGGTCTGCAGATGTCTGTTCGGTCCTGAAACAGCAAAACAGTCCGAGACAGCAGCTTCTGAAGTCATATTATGATATTACTATTATAAAATATATGTGACCCTGCAGCACAGAAGCAGTGTTAAGTCGCTGGGGGATATTTGTAGCAATAGCCAACAATACATTGTATGGGTCACAATTATACATTTCTCTTTTATGCCAAAAATCATTAGGATATTAAGTAAAGATCATGTTCCATGAAGATATCTTGTAAATCTCCTACCGTAAATATATCAAAACTTAATGTTTGATTAGTAATATGCATTGCTAAGAACTTCATTTGAACAACTTTAAAGATGATTTTCTCAATATTTAGATTTTTTGCAGATTTTCAAACAATACATCAGTGGAAAGCTTATTTGTTCAGCTTTCATATGATATATAAATCTCAAAAATCTCAAACAAACTGGTGTGACATCATTTGAAACAAAAAGAAGTCAAACTTTTGTGTTTGTGAGGTTTTTCAGAACGTTTGGCTTGGCAAGCGGTTTCAAACTTCTGAAATAAACTCTTGCCAGACCAGAAAGGTTCCAGAAAAGTTCACTCCGCTTGTAAACACCGTCAAACTGCCACTGGTCCGCAGCGAGCGTGTAATATGTAGGTGTGCTCGTGGGATGCTGTAAATGTGCTGTGAGTATACGGGGGATTTAAGATTCGCATTCACACTGCAGGTGAATCCAGAGTGACTCCAGTTCAGTGACCGAAAAACACACCCACTGCTGAAACAAAACAGCTCATGTTAGTGTCGGCCTTCTGAGATCATCAGGAACAGCTGCATCAGTGTCCGCTTGTGTTAGTTGTTACTGGTGCGTATATCATCTGTCAGTCGTCCTGCTGTCTAGAGATCAGTCACTGATTGATCGACGAGTCAATCCTCACACAGACACAAAGAGAGATTCAACACACGCTTCTGCAAAAGCTTTCCTTCCCGTTTCCCTCTTTTAAACGTCGGCTGTTATTCCTCACATTAGGTTCCTCTTTCTGTAGTTTTTAATGAGCTTTATTTTTCACAACGACCAGTCCAATCCTGAACAAAACACACACACTCAGTTCTAGAAGCTCCAGGTGTTTTCAGATGGTCACTCGCATGAAACATCACGCATTTCACTGTCACATTTCCTCCAAACGTTCCCCCGATGTTTCAAGCGTCGTCGAGTCTTTAATGTCCATGTCAGTTTACAAGAACTCTCTGATTCTCAAATGAGTTTGTTCTCATGTCAGTAGTGCTGAATAAACGCATGAAGTTATTCCGAGTGTCAGCACTGCTCCTGAAGAAGCATCTGCTGCGGTGCGAGATCTCGTCGGTCACTCACCGTGTTTGTGGTCACTTTCTCTGTCGTCTTCTGTGAAGCGATCGCACCCTCGCTCTCCTCCTCGCGCTTCCTTCCCGTAGTTTCTCCAGCGTTCAGTGAAGATCAGAGACACGGAGCGGAGACCTCACCGCAGGAATGACGGAGCACTGCGCTGGTGTAGAAGTGATGCACGAGTGCCTGTCTCTCTCCATCAGCCCCCATCACCAACAGACAAGCTGCTCCAGCTGGACATCAGTTGAGCTGAACTAGTATTGGACGAGAGACACAGAGAGACACAGAGAGACACAAAGAGAGAGAGAGAGAGAGAGAGCTTTCCGCTCTCTGCTGGACAGGAGGATGTACTTGTACAATATGGTGATGCTGATAAGAGTAACCCCCCCCCCCCCCCCCCCCCCCCATATATTTATATGAATAAAATATGACTGCAAAATGTTTAATATTCTGACAGAATGCACAGCTGTTTTAAATGTGAACTAAGAAACGTGAACTGGCTGATACTTGCAGCCAGATGATGTTTGACACCTACCAGCAGGGCCTAACCATGCCATTCTAAACCCTGACTTCTTGTTTTCTACAGGAAAGATGTCAGATATCACTGAAACAGAGAAAACATCAGCACAAAAAAAGTCACAGGAGTAACCCACAGTTTTTAGTCAGTTTAAAAAAAAATTAGCTGGTGCTATATATGGACTCTTTTGGTGCATTCCCACAGTTTTTGTAACATTCTAAATCTGGCCAAGTCTTTTATATTTTCATTTTTTAAATCATACTTTGTGTTGCATAGCCTTTAGGCATTAAATAACAATAGTAGTAATAATAATAATAACTAGTTATAGTTAACACTGCAGCAAGGGTGTTTCTAATACAAAAGCTGAGAGAGTGACAAAGAAAGTTGACTGGGAAAGTTGTGTAAACGCTATCATGAATGTTTTTGTTTTACTGTTGGAGCAAATGGGAATGCAAAAATCATTTTTGCTGTAATGTCCCATTCACCACCATAGACGTTTACCCAACTATTCATAGTACTAAATAATATTAATATAGAATATACTATAGTAATAAGAATATTTGCACCATGTGATTTTTTTAATTTTTTTTAGCATTGTTAAGCCCATTAGTGAACACACAAGACACCTAACTAAACACTTCTGCCCATTTCTATGATCAACATCACTGACTCTATCTGCTGGCCAGTATTCAGAAATGCATCAGGTTGATTTGGCTTTTGTATCCCTGTCTTCAACCAGGTCTCTCTCTCTCTCTCTCTCTCTCTCTCTCTGGTCAGCCCCAGACACTGAAAGTTATTGGATCTCGACCAAAAGGAAGCACAACTTACATCATGATTGAACAACATTGTAAAAGTTCTCTCTCACAGTCAAACTGAAGTACAAAACTGAAAGTGACACACACACACACACACTCACTCACTCACTCACACACTCTCTCTCACACACACACACACACACACACACACTCACTCACACACTCTCTCTCACGCGCACACACACGCACACTCTCACTCACACACTCTCACTCACACACACACACACACACACACAGGTTTGTTTTTGTGAAAAGTGGGGACTCTCCATAGGCGTAATGGTTTTTATACTGTACAGACCGTATATTCTATTGCCCTTCACCAACCCTACCCCTAAACCTACCCCTCACAGGAGACTTTCTGCTATTTCAGATTTTCAATACACTCCATTCTGTGTGATTTATAAGCGTTTTGAAAAGTGGGGACATGGGGTAATGTCCTGAAAAGTCAGCTTCTCCTTGTAATACCTGTCATACCTTTGTCATTATACACATTTATGTCCTCATTTGTCACAAAAACACGTACACACACACACACACACACACACACACACGCACACACACACAAACTCACACTCTCTCTCATACACACACGTGCAAACACACACACACACATCCGAGCGTAAATTCAGAGTACTAACATTTTCACACAAAAATCATGATTGATCAGCAAGTTAACACTAAAATGTATTGTAAATTTACTATAAAAACAAGAACCATTTGAAACCAAATGTATGCAGAGATCACATGCTCACAGTGATCTTACTAGCAACCTTCACACAAAAAAACAATTAAATAAAATAGGAGTGATATGACAACAAAGCATGATGGCATGTTGTGAAAAGCACATTCTGATTTACCTGAAGATCCTGCTGTGAATACAGCGAACAAAGCCACAAAAGGTCGTCTGTAGCCTCGCCGATGCTCTGGAGATGAAGACAGGTGAGGCTGCACAGAAAGACAGTTTGGGTGCTTTTATGCAAATTATTAGGCATTTAGAATAATCTGGATCGATAATCATTAGAACAGCAGTAAGAGCAATTGTGTGTGCTCTCGCTCTGGCAGACTGTGTTTACACTGTGCGCATAAACATTGAAAACTGCAGGAAATAAAACCCAGTGTGTTTTATAACAAAATTATTGAAAACAATTGAAATCACATTTAAAGAGCCACTTTCAGAATCACACAAAGAATCAGTCCAGCATCACAGATACGGTCTCACCTCATCAGTCAATGTGTGTGTGTGTGTGTGTGTGTTTGTTTGCTTGAGTGTGTGCGCGTTTGAGTGTGCGTGTGCGCGTGTGTGTGTTTGAGTGTGCGTGCTTGAGTGTGTGTGTTTGAGTGTGCGTGTGCGCGTGTTTGAGTGTGCAAGTGTGTGCGTGTGCTTGCTTGAGAGAGAGAGTGTGTGTGTGTGTGTGTGTGCGCTTGCTTGAGAGAGAGTGTGTGTGTGTGTGCTTGCTTGAGAGAGAGAGAGTGTGTGTGTGTGTGTGTGTGTGAGTGTGTGTGTGTGTGTGAGTGCGTGTGTGTGTGTGAGTGCGTGTGTGAATAAATGTAAAAATATGAAATAAATTCAATTTCAGCTGTAAAGCAGCTCTTAAAGAACATCAGTGTCATCTTTCAGCTCAATCTCAGTGTCAGTGGGGTTAAATATTATTGAATATAGTCTTAAGCCATCTTCCAGAATCGTCTAAAAACACATCTCTTCCATCTTTATTTGACCCTCTAACTCTAGCACTCTCTATTCTAATTCTATTCTTTAAAAAAACTTGTCCCTTTTAGACTTGCACTCTTTTAATT